AAAATACTTATCTCTGCACCGGAAGTCTATTAAATAATTGTCTATAAATACCTGTTTCATCCAGCATTTTTCTATGTTACCTGTTTCCTCAACAGTTTCAATCATTTTGACCACAGAATCAACGTAAAAGTCATTACCATCACTGTCACTCTGGCTGGAATTACTAGTTTCATCTTTTTTCACTTCATGCACTTGTCTTTTTCCATATTTTTCATGCAGGGCAAGACCTTGTTCAATGAACGTAACCAGTTTGTTCTGTGTTACTTGAACTGCTTGTTGATTGATTTTCAGGTTTATACTTCTCATACTTTACAGCATTGACTTGTGACTCATTTCGCAGCACCTTAGATTGTGCCTTACTAACCTCACTTGCTCTACAAAAATCTATGCACTTATCAAGCTTTAGTTTACCTTCTCGTAATAATCTCTCTTGCATGTTTTTGTCCCAAACTCCCATAACTATTCGATCTCTGATCATGTCATCTTGCTCTTTATATCTTGTTATTTTTACTGCTTTCCGAAGTTCCGTGAGAAAACTGTCAAATTTCTGTAATTCTTTCTGCATTATGGAATTAAATTTCTACCTTTCAAAAATCAAGTTCTCCTTTGGGCCACAATATTCCTCAAATTTCTCTTCAATTTTATCCAACTTCGATTCGTCTCCTTCCGCAAACGCGAAACTATTACCTAAATAGCTCAAGGTTCTCATTTCCAATAAGGTTCAAAAATACTGCTACCTTTGGTTTGATAGATAAACCGGTGGTAGTCATAAACAACTTAATTTTCTGCGAGAATCGCTTCCAGTTTTCAGCGATATTATTATCCAGGACTAAAGGCTCAGGTGGTTTGTATATTGCCTCCATTTTGTCACAAAATAAATCCTTTTTGCAAAACTAGCGCCAAAAAGTAAGGTTGCTCCGGGTAACCTAACCTTGGTTTGTTTACACTATCAAAATAACCCACAAGCGGCTTTAACACAGTACTCTATATTTTACAACTATAACCCCGCACCTAACACCATGTTTAATACTTGTGTTTATCCAAATAAAACAAGAATATAAGTCGAAACTGAATATTTTAATAATATAATTATAGTAGCACAAAATAAACATCTGGCTCACAAGCGGCCATGTTGTTCCCTCTTCCTAGACCTACTAAGTTACCTACTAGCCACAGTATAGGCTTACTATATTAAACATAGGCCTCCGATACGCGTCGGCCTTCAAAAGTTGAGCTCAGCACAAAAAGACCCACTTCTTGGCCTAATGACATAAACAACTATTTTTCTTTTAGTGTGTTGTCTCTCTCAAATTTTTCTTTTAGGATGTTTATAGATTCTGTTATGGGTCTGTTTAAGTTTTCCACATCAGCTGGCAGACAGTAGGAGTTGTATGGATCAAGGTTCTTAGTCTTTAGTATTACTACAAAATGCTTGATGTGATAGATAATTTTCTGGTGTCTTGCAGGGGTTTAGTCAATGATGGAATGGGGCAATTCTTCCAGGGGTTCTATACGTTAGTACTCTTGAGCTGGTGACATGATGAAATGTTTGAGAATTTTTGGTGTTCCACAGAGATGTGATGGCGTACTGAGGTGAGGTGTGAGCTTGGATCTTATGTTGTCCTCTATGTAGTTCTTGTATTTTCATAGGGTGAGGTAACTCTGTCTTTCAACTGTTATGGAAGTCGGGTCTTTGGTTGAAGGGCAGGAAATTGAAGTTTCTGCTATTTTGTTGTTCTAAGTTTCGATGTCCATAACTACCGTTGCATTCCCCTTATCTGCTGGTAGGATTATCCATTGTATCGCCCTTTTGGTTCTTGAGAGACTTAGTTCCTCTACTTTCGAGCGATTGTTGACCACTTTTTTTTATTTCTCGATTTTATTTCTGATGTAGTTTTTATTTTATTATGCTTTGTTTTCTTTTGTTGAAATGGTATCTGCAATTCGCTTCATTTTGCCATGGGCTGTTGGTGGCAACATTTAGAGTGTGCCTAAGCAACGCTAGTGTGAATACATCTAGCCTTATTCCAGCCTAAGCTGGAAAGATTTTTCATAGAGAAGAGCTGCATTGAAATATTACAAATTTTCCAATATTTAATGTAAGAAGCTAGTACTTTTCCATTGAAACCTGGGGTATCTAATCATCGTTCAAGCGATGTCACCTGGATTTTCCCATTTTATGATAGGTAGGTAATACTTCAGTACTTGAATAATATCTCCTGCACTTGAAAAAAAAAGTTTCCTGTTACTTTTTGGATCAGAGCTCTTCAGCATTGCATTCGATGCTTCTTCGTTCTTCGTTCTCTTCAATCTAAGATATCTAAAAATAGTTGTTTCTTTAGGATTATGATTAGAGTCGAGCAAAAAACGATTTGAATAATTCAATGTTGTCATCAACTTCTTAATTTGATCAGGGGTATTCAAAATCAAATATAATTCTGTCGCTAGTTCTGTAGAAATAGAAATAGTTATTTAAACAACAAGTTTTGAAAACGACTTTTTTCGCACGGCGAGACAGTTTGTTGGAACGAGCCGTAGGCGAGTTCCACAAGTCGAGCGAGTGTGAAAAAAGGTTTTCAAACGAGTTTTTTTTAATGCTTTTCCTACAACTGCAAAATAAAACAACCAAATATGTCATTTTTATTTGTTAGAAAACAAATCATCAACATCAGATATTGGTGACAATCGCAATTTATGTTGTCATGTCCAGGATGATAAGAACAAAATAAATGGAAAAACTAATTAGCAGCGTGTGAGAAACTTTTTCGCACGCTGAGGAGCGTGTGAAAAACTTTTTCGCACGCCGTGCGAAAAACTCTATTTTCAGAGGTTGCCTAGCGTGCGAAAAACTCCATTTTCAGAGGCAGTTGTAGGGAAACGTTTTTCCAATTCTTCACCTCATAATCTATATACAGGGTGACAATTTGAAAAGTAGCAATCGCGAATATCTCTTAGACTAAAAATAATATCAGGAAGATCTCAAATACGTATCGGGGGATTGAACGGGGGACTAAAATGAGAAACTTTTTGAGTTACCCCGCCTCACCTCTTAGGGGGTAGCTACCCTAACTTATTTTTTTAAATACGAACCTACCTTGTGTGGTACATCGTTCCATAGCTCGTTGCTATCCCTTTATAGTCATATAGCAAAATCTTAAATCGGAGGATTAGTTTTTGAGATATCGGTGTTTAAAAATGAGCATATTTTGAAAACTAGTGACTTTGACTATCTCTTAGACAAAAAAATTCTGTCATAAAAGTGTCAAATACACATCGGGGAAACCAAATGTGTTTATTGCCTAACCCCCACCCCCTTGTCTTGGGGGCTAGCTGCTCTTAATAATTTTTCTAAAATGAGAACCTACCCCGTGTGATAGCTGCTTTGAAAGGTTATTTATTCGTCTTTAAAGACGTGCAGAAGCAGATAGAATAACGATAAACACATTATTTGGTTTCGCTGATGTATATCCGAAACTTTAATGACAGAATTTTTTTTCTATGAGATAGTCAAAATTGCTAGTTTTCAAAATATGCTCACTTTTAAGCACCGATATCTCAAAAACTAAACGTCCGATTTAAGATTTTGCTATATGACTGTAAAGGGATAGCAACGAGCTATCGAACGATGTGCAACACAAGGTGGGTTCGTATTTGAAAAAAATAAGTTGGGGTAGCTACCCCCTAAGGGGTGAGGCGGGGTGACTCAAAAAGTGCCTTATTTTGGTTCCCTTTCCAATCCCCCGATACGTATTTGAGATCTTCCTGATAGTATTTTTTGTCTAAGAGATATTCCCGATTGCTACTTTTCAAATTGTCACCTCATATAGCTCTATTAAAAAAAAAAGTATAAACTCACTGCTAATGCTACCTAATGCTCCAATTTTTGACGTGAACAATTTTTAAATTAAAACAATATTTCCCCCAACGCTATCTAGAATCATCATTGCACATCATGCTAATGTGCAAAAAATAAAACAACCCCCAATGATTATTCTTATGGGTGTAACACGATACACACACCCTATGAGCAGTCAAAATATTGGATCATAAATGACGCAAAGCCATATATCCATTGGCGTATCTTTTAATTGAAACCATAAAACCATCCCTTTATTCCTCTACCCCACATGCAGTTTCATATTTTCAATCTCCCATCTATAAATCACACTATTAAATCGGCGAACAAATTTTGTTGTTTCATTTTTGATCATGCATCGGATAAACGCACAACAATGCATTTCATGCGATAAGTGCAACCATTTGAGTCAATTAGTGAAGAAAAAATAATTGGCCCGGAACGCCTCAATGAATTTTTCCGAGGGGATGTCACAAAGATATTAATTTATAATCAATTACGCTAACTTTTTCATTTCAGCAAAGTCTATTTCAGTATTTTTCAAAATTAAAATATTGTTCATATCCCTAATTATAATTTTAGTTAGATATTGTATAATCTTTTTTACGAATATTTAAACTTAATCGAAAATATATTATTTATTTCTAATATATCAATATAAATAAACTTTATATTGCTTTTTAAAATTCTATCTAATTGTAGGTATATCATGTACAACATTAAATAGCGAATTGCCTAAAACACAATTACAGTTAAAATAAACAGTAGCGCTATCAAGATATTAGTATAACGAGAGGACTAACACACAGCAGACATAACTGAAGCTTGTAAGAGTGTGTTAGCGTTTTGATAAGGGAGATGGGGCGATGCTAAACTAAATAATCTCTTGATCCTGTTATCTACAAATATAATTATTCCAACGGGGTGTCTTGCTTTAAACAGCTTGGTTCATCGCCGGAACGACTCGCAGTGGTCTGGATAGCAAAATTACAGTAAATATTTCTGTTCAAAATTACAATGGAAAATTGCATATGAAGCATGTTTTTCTGCCATTCACTAGAAACGAATTCAGATTCAACATAATAATATGTAACGGGCGAAAACAATATCCTTGAAAGCTATTCGAATAACTTTAGAAGAAACAATGACTATAACGGAACCAGATCACACTGAGACAGAAGAACTCCAAATATTGTTCTCATTTAAACAAAGATGTAATATTTTAATAAAAATCAGTTGTATACGCTTATGAATTACTCCTGATTTGACTCCTTTCATGCACTATCGATATGAGCTATACAAAAACCAGCTTCACAACATTTCTGGTACAATCACCTATTTTAGAGATATACAGTGGCGGCCCGTGACTTTTATTTTGAGGGAGGCAGCCCAAGAAAAAAATGAGCGTCGTAGGTAATTTTTTTTTTTTTTTGGGGAATTAAAATTATATAAAAATACATTTTGCAGCATTTTTACAGAGGAGGCACTGCCTCCCCTGACGAGCCGCCACTGGAGATATATTAAAAATAACATGTATGGTTATTGAGAAGTAAAGCTTATTTTTACTATATTTTCACTTAAATTTATTAGGACAGTAACATGTTCCGCTGCACTGTAACTTAATCCAGGGCCGTATCTAGACCAAAATTTTGGGGGGGGGTTAGACAAAGTGGCAAAAAGAAATTGTTACACTAGTAATAAAAATTAAAAAAATAAATAAGTATTCAATAAGTGTTGTTTGTTTTTAAGTTAAATTTTTTGAATTTTATTATTTTTTGGGGGGGGGGGGTTTGAACCCCCAAAACCCCCCCCCCCTAGATACGGCCCTGACTTAATCAGACTTAAACTATGGTTTCAACTCTAAACGTGATCTACTAACAGGTACCTACATAATTAATACAATTTATAATATGATTACCTAAATGAGAGACACATTCCAACAGTTAGGTAAACGCACGGGTTCAACTTATTTCATTACGTTGGTGTATTATATGTATGTATGTAGAATTTTCATGTTATGGTTAAATCTGTAGCCTGTTTCAATGAGCTAGTTTGGTAGTTAGAACAATTCGAATCAGATTTGTCTCAAATAAGAATTATAATTTTCGAAAACTCTCGTTTTGAAGCATCTTCCTGTCTGTCCTACGTTTTTGGACAGGGCAATTATTACAAACTAGCTTATAAACTTGTCAGGTACGGTTTTGATAAAATTTAGTGAAAATATAACAAAAATTAGTTCTTCTTTCTACCAATAATTACAGTGGCGCACTCAGAAAATATGCTTACGAGTGGGGGCCTACATAGGTGTTGGCTTGTGTCTAGAAATCTTAACAACAAATCGAGGTGTCAGGGTGCCACGCCCTGATGTTGCCACATTTTTTTATACGTAAAAATACAGTTTTGGAGGAGCGCCCCCTTCCTTTCTCGGGTGCGCCACTGAGCAAGGGATTTCAATTTTCACAAAGTATCGGCTCAATCAATTCAAATTTTTACAATTTTTGTCGATGAAATCCAGTAGAAAGTGCATGGCTTTCTGATTTTCACAAAAATATTCCATGAGTATTAACTAAGCAAGCTACCTTCTGGTAGAGTTGCGAATAAAATTTATCTGGGCGAAAAAGTATGCGTCAATCAGTTTTGAATTCGTAGAAAATACAGGCGCGGATCCAGGGAGGGGCCATGGGGGCCATGGCCCCCCCTAGATAAGAAAAAATAATTTTAAAAATCAACATTAAATCGACCAATTTTTCCGGGTCTACCAGGGCCCGTATATAACAGAATTTTATTTCATGGCGTCATTTTATCACGGACCTATAGTCTATTCTATTTGTATGTACAGGGTGTTTGGTTATAATTTGGCACCCGACCTGCAGCCTTTACCTTTACAGGTAGATGATAGGTGTGAGCACAAAATTTGTGCAATTTTAAATAAATTTTCCAATATTTTGTATGGCCCCCCCCCTTAATTTGGGTCTGGATCCGCGCCTGAGAAAATATTATAACAATAACTTTCAAAGTAGGTACAAGAAAAATAGTTATTTCTCACCAACTTTCTGCACTCTTCATGCATCTGTACTAGGTAGGATCATGCTTCATAAAAAAGTTTATCTTAATTAATGATTGAAATCACTATTTCTCGTTATTGATCTCACTACTGAATTTTCTTGGCGCATCTGAGAATTACCCAGTATAAACGCACTCTAAAACAACTATAAAATACAGTTTTGCACAGCGTTTACGAAGATAACAAACACACTTACTTATCCCACATAGGTATCGAGAAATGACTCAAAATTTCCGATATCAATTCTGAAAACGGTATAAAATAGTTGCTGCCAAAACAACCGTTGCAAAAAATCAAACAATCGAACTCAAATTAGACACATAAATCTTGATACATATTTGTTTCGCCCTGAAAGGGGTGAGCATATGGTCAGAGAAAAGACATAAAGCTGAACACTAATCTTCATATAGGTGTGAGAAGAAAGGTTACTCTCATTCATTGAGCCAAATCAATTTCACAGCAAATTGCGGTGGTTATTGGTTATTATTTTATAGTAAGTGGTTTATCGTGGTCGATGGTTCAAAGTAAATAATGCTGGATCTGCGGCACCTAGAAAGTCAATATTGCAAGTATACCCAATGCCTTGCTTAGAATAATGTGCAGTGCAATTGAATTTTATAGCTAGCAAATATCGTACCATTCGTACCTTAATAGAGCCTATATTTGAAAATTGCTATTATTACACTTAGGAGTATTATCTACATCTCAAATATATTACATAAGTTCGTCTATTTTGCTGTTCATTTATGCTTAGGTTATGCTTGCAGTGTTGCGCGTGAGTTGTATTATTGAAAACGGAAATTTATAGCAAACAAATGCCACGTCTTATAATAATTCTACGCCAATGTAGTATGTAACAAAATAAACAAGTTTTTATAACTTGGTCGCTTTTGAATATTTGGCTTCCAACGTTGTATTTCATCCCCAGTGCGCGAACGGCTCCAGAGCACAACGTGTCTCGGAGTGGCGCGACCCCTACCCCCTTATTTCCCTTTTCGTTCCCTCATCCCGAATTCCGTTGCTAGGATACCGCCTCCGGCAACCGCAGAAACACTTCTACAATGGTGATGCTTGTTCTACACGACACGCACAACACTTTTCCTGATACGGAAGATGGATTGAGATGATAACAACATTTCCCTTCGCTGGCAAACAGCGGCGGCTCGTCGTTAAACGTCTTTCGTACAAACAGTGATTTTATGAAATTGAAGGATAATTTTATGGCGTGGCAAGGGATGATTTGAATCAACTAAAATCCGTCATTTATATCATAGGTATGTGGACCTTACTTAGGCTCGCTAAGAACTGTGAAAACATATAGAGGCTAGTCTCGATCCTTAATGTTGATCTCATCATCGGTCTCAAAAGTCAAAGCTTGGTTAAAGATGAGTGACTGAGGGCCGGTTTATCAATGAACGGTTATCTAGTTCAGCTATCGGTTAACTAATGATAATTATTACCTAACTGACAGCTAAACTAACTAACCGTCCACTGATAAACCGGTCCTGAGACGAGTCCGAAACTCGGAGTCATCATAAAGTTGCCATCCTTATTTAGTATGTCACCGCATAACCGTTACATTGCCTGCTAAATAGGCTTCATCCCTGCACAAAAAAGATGATGACGCTTATCTATGGAAAAAAAATAAAAGTTTGTTTCACAGAATATTGCCACCACCTCATTTTAAAGAAGTACAAAACTCTGATACAATAAATTTATGGAACTGAAAAGTATTCGGAAAGCTTACTCGAAAATATGGCCATCGATATATCCAATGGAAGGAAGGGTGATAAAGTTTCATAGTTGTTTCTCTATATAAACTGATTGTTTCCTCTTCAGAAAAAAAAAGGAATTCAGTAGTTAACCAACGGCAGATACAAAAAGAACCGAAACGACACCGGAATACAAATGCACACTAAGAAAATCACTTATTGTTTCAAATCTCTTTATTCCTCCCTCTCAACACATGTTACAGACCTGAAGACCGCAGCGAAACATGAGAAGGGTGAAAATAAACGCGGAAAAAACACACAATTTTTATGAGAGTTCATCTCGATATTTTTTTCGTTTGATTTTCGATACTTGCAATGCAAACATTATTTAAATTATAATAGATTTTTATAGGCATTCAAAACATAATTCACCTACTCAAATAAAAAATAAAAAAGGATAACTAGGTAATATTTAAATAGAAAAGAAGTATATTTAAATAAAACGAAAAAAAATATAGCAGCAAATAAGCCGGATTGATTGTTACACATGTGTGTTGTTGACGTATGAAAACTGTCATAATCCCTATAGAAATATGGCCTCGTTTTATTCTAATCCTGTATCGGTTTCAATTATTATTTGACATGCTTACATGCAATGAGCTTTATGGAAAGCGTGCCTTTTGCAACTTTAGGTCTGATTTTGGAGACAACTTTTAATAATTAGGTATTTATTTCCAGGAAACCTATCTAATTTTGTATGTAGGTACCTAGTTATTTTTGTATTTTTTTTTTTTTTTTAATTTTTAATTCATAAATCCAAAATTATGTATATTTTTTTTAGTGAACCAAAGTAATATGACAGGCCTGGGATCCGATAAAGATGCCAAGAAAAAACATACACGGCCCACGTTCTCAGGTCAACAGATATTTGCATTGGAAAAGACTTTTGAACAAACTAAATACCTTGCTGGACCGGAACGGGCGAAACTCGCTTATGCGTTAGGAATGACTGAATCACAAGTTAAGGTAAGTTTATTTATTCTTTGGTTGAGGAGACCATTATGTGTATGTCTTAAGTTATGTTGTTATTATTATGTTTAAGAGTTTCCGCAAGACTCAAGATATCTTACAAAATGCATGCGCCGGGCTTAAGCCCAGCCACTTATTGGTTCTCTGCAACTTGCAAGTGCCTCATTATTTATGAGGAAAAAATTGGTAGCTTCTGTCTGACCAGCCCTCAATGAAAGTTATGGATTACTAAAATAATGTGTTCTATTTTTAAAAAAATCTTGTTTTTTTTGGGAACAATTTTTTATAAAAGTATTGGAAAAAAACCACAAGCTAACGACTCCGATTTTCTCGGAAATTTGTATTGAGAGATAGTGTTCGGATACTCAAAAAGAGGGCACCATACTCGACTAAACACTGCGGTAATCAGTTGAAAATGATTCACCTGAGGTGTATTCTTTTTAACAATTATCACTTTCAGTTTGATCACTTGCAACTGATCCTGATCACGTGTACTTAAACGAGCTTCCACATGGTCTGTCTCAGATTTAAAGGAACATTTGAAAGAACGGTGAATAATGTTCACCTGGTTCATTCATGTGGAAGAAAATGTCGTCCCATAAGCTTGCCATTAACTATAGCTCAAATTAACTAATTCAAAAGTTAACTGAAAATCTGTACTCAAATTGCGTTTTTTTCACAACATGCGGATTTCTACTTGGAAAAACTGTAGACTGTTCAAAAACCCAATCAACATTCGCGGAATAGGAGTAAGAAATACACACCAACTATAGGCCGCGAAAACGGACAATGAATAGGTACATGGAATGTCCAGTGAATCTCTAGTTCTAGTTCTTAATTTTTGTCAATGAACTTTAATATCAAAATGTCATGTCAATAATCCTGATCAATAAAGAAACAATAATGTGACGGACGTTTTCGTAATCATAGCACCCTTTGATGTGGTTTTTTTTTAGATACCCGTTATCATACGTCAGAAAATGGATCGGTTTGCCGCTACCGAGTTTCAAAAGATAGGCCCGGGCTCAGAAAATCTGGGAAAGCATGGCCATTTCTTCAACGGCGCTGAAAGAAATAAAGGAAATTTCGATTATCATAAATGGAAAATGCAGAAAACATAAAACATTATGGTAAACCGTACACAAAACAATATTAAAACTAAGTGTATATGTATGTTTGGAGGAAAAATAAGAATTTTGTAAATACCTATATGGAGTGAATGCCGATGAACGCGTATAAAAGGTGCATTCTATCGTTAACTCAGTGACCAAATTATAAAAGTAGGGAATTCAAGGAAAATAATAAACAATAATTATCAGGAGATTTTTTTTGACGAATGAGAAGAAAAAGGGCATTTATTTATTAGACTCTTGTGATTACCACGACTTGGCAATAATATATCTATGACTCCTGACTGAAATATGCTGAAAGTACATATTATACTAATAATGAATTTTATGCTACCATACCGCCAAAAATACCATGGTGCATACCAATCTGAAACTACCGGCACTTATAAGTGGCCCTCGCTTCTCAATTTCTCATAATCTCTCTATATCGTTTCAGCGTTTCTTGATTTAATTTCATCCAGGTTCAACCTAATAGTATAACATACCGAAACTCGTTCAAGATTTCACAAAAGCAAAGGACCAAAAATCAGAAAAAAGGATTATTATGTCCTTAAAAACAAAATGCTAATTATTTAAATGAAAATCAGAGAGCAACATAAATAAAATAAAATTTTAGGACTACAGTCCTGGATTAAAGGGGCCGTTAAACCGCGGTCGGAGGAGCTTCGCTTCATTAAAGTAAGAGGTCCTCTGAGGATACAACAAAAAATAATCTGGACAAAATTTTCCCAGCGCTGCATTTTAGCCGCGAAGAAGTCATCGTAAAATTCATTTAAACGTCGACTTTTTAAGATTCTCGTTACCTTCATTACCTTGGCCCCTGCAAAAATTAAAAATTAATTTTATCTTGTTACAAGTTTAATTAAATTAAAACATGAACGGCTTTCGCAGCGGGTGTCGAATTATACTCCAACTCTTCACTTATCTTTTAAGTTTTGATGAGAAATCAGTGGCAGTCTGCCAATTTTTTAACAACAATTCTTTCATATTATAGGTACCTATTTACTAAGTATTATTCATCATATTTGGAAACAAATATTATGATATACAGTGTCACTACTGAAGTAATTTACAGAGTTATAATTCCTTCAAAAGTTTCCGCAGAAGCAAAGCTCTGGTACCCTCGAATATCTTTAAATAAGATGTAATTTCAATTATCATAAATATAGTAAAAATTAAAACCTATTTTGGCTTTTATCAATTTGTAGAAAACGTTAGAAATAACGTCAAAAAGACAATTATCTCATAATAATTATGATACACATTGCTGCAAATTAGATCAGGGACGTTGTATATATATAGAAACGATTAGCATTTATTAGAATCAGATTAATACTCTCCGAAACAGGTTGCTTGAAATGCAATATTTTATGCTGTCCGACATAAATATACTCGTCATCAATTTTAATCCGGGAAATGGCACATTACGTCCCTAGTCCGGTAAAGTAACATTGCTGTATTCATGTTAAAAGGCTAGATGACAAAAGAATAATTAACTCAGCTATTCTCTGGACAACTGTCATTACTGTCAAATGAGAGAGGTTTCAAAAAATACTTTCTAATTACATGTTAGAAAATTCTTCTTACATTATGAAATAAGTATAGATAACAGAATGAGATTAAATATTGTACGATACACATCCGTGAATTTATTAATAAAGTATTTACTACTTGCTTAGAAATTCTAGACTTGGCTATCGCGTCATCCATAAGCATCTTAACTTGGCTTGGCTTGCTAAGTCACTTCTAGCGCTTGTAACGTAAATTACCATTAAACATGTTCGACTTTAAATAAAAAATATGGTTTAGGGAAAATAAAGCTTTTGAGTGTGTACATTTTAACCAAACGGCTACCAGTTTACTTGAAATTTTTTGGTTAATGTCTGAAATATGACGACAATAAATTTATTTTCCTCTATTTCAGCGATTCCCAACCGGTGGGTCGCGACCCCTAAGGGGGTCGCATAGGGTTTTTGGAGGGGTCGCAATGCCAATATCAATATATATTTTTCTGCATTTGGCAACACGCCTTAGCCTCCGCCTCAAAAGACGCGCAGCGTTGCATTGACCTTCGTACGAAGTACAACACAGGTTGTGAGTCACATGTTTTTCAACATAGGTAGCTATACAAAATGACTGAAGCATCAGAAACAGAAACTGTAGAGAATCCAAAAAAAAATTGTTTACCACCTTCAATCGCTTGAGAATGAAATGGGCGTTATTTTCTCGATTTAATCTGAACAAAAAGCTGCAGTAGTAAGGAACCCGTTCCAAGCCTCGTTAGATGTTGCCGACGTTCCTGATGAAGTGCTGGATACATTTTTAGAGCTGAGGAATGATTCCAGGAAAAATTCTTGACTGAAATTTGGTGTGCGATGCATAGTTCATATCCTTATATCGCCCTGCATGTGCTTTCTTTCCAGATACTAATACCATTTGCCTCTACCTACCTTCATGAATTTGGCTTTTCAACTTAGAACAAAGTTCAGAAATAAATTGGGCGTTCAAGATGACATAAAATTGGCTTCAACAAAAACTCAACCAAGAATTTCAAAACTTGTTACGGTGATGCAAGCTCAGTCATCACATTAACAAAATAAAAATTGACTTTTTGTATTTAGTTACGAAATATCAACATTTCTGTTAAAGATTTCTCGAATAAATGAAATTTTGTTTTTTATTTATTAATGGGTAGGGGGGTCGCGACCTTATGAGCAAATCTGTAAAAGGGTCGTGACTAAAAAAAGGTTGGGAACCACTGCTCTATTTACTTTCATCAAAGCTTCACAGAATACCAAATTGTACATTCTGTTAAATAACCTTTCCTTGCCTTGGAACGCTTATTGTAAATATCGCTTGATTTCATACATAAAGTTACAGCAAGAAATCTAAAAAGTAAACTCAAAAGATAAGGTAACAGGGGTTATCCTCAAGATATTTAGAAAATAACTTAAATGTGACAGGTCGCATTTAAAACTAAACCTTGAACTAGACCTTAAATTCCCAAGCTTGAAAAAATAATGAAGATTCTGGGACATCTAGCCGTTCATGGCGTATGGCTACTGGCTTGGCGTTTTGCTGTTATTGTAGATATTGGCTGATAGGCTGCCTTCCTGCTTCGGAAAGCCTTCCTTTGCAGTAGGCGTCTTGTTTGATCCCTTGGGCTAAGAAATTGGGGTTGGTTTACTGCTGCATGGAGTCCACAGTCCCTACTCAATTCGGGAAAGTAGCTCTCTGCATAGCAGTTGGTCTGGACTCTGAGGTTTCAGATCCAGTTTGAGTTGTGTGTTGCTGGGCCAGAGGCGCTAGTAAATCTGTGAATTGCTTTAGTTGTTCCCGAGGTTCCGAGAAGAAGATTTGGCGAAGTGCCTCACGGCAGTCGTGTTATTGGTCTGTTCTGTTCTTGGTGCTCTGGGACTCAAGTTATAGTCCGGCCGCCAAATGAGAAAATGGGCTTAGACCTTGAGTTAAGGTACAACTAATATTTTATCATTGATTTTAGTACTATTTGATATACTGAACCATAATATGAGGGGTGCCATAATGGCACTTTTGGGCAACTTGAAATATTTAACGTCAAAGTTCACGGGGTCCAAAAAACAGAACTCACCCATTTTATTACGAATGAAAGGGAGTCGGTTAACCAGAATGAAATATTTGTAGTTCAAGAAATGTTTAATATGTGATGTGGTAAGTATAACGTATACTATACTTTTGAAACACTGAACAGTATAAGATAGCTATTGTTGTGATATAGGTAAAAAAAGCAATAGATGGATAGAAAGTATTTAGTTTTATTTATGTTTAATTACAGAATATTTATAGAATGCATATTAGATAACGGAATATTCAAAGTCGGAAATAGACATTTCACTGTCACTGCCATCAAGCTGAGCTTGGCGAGTTCTCAAATTGCCACACAATGGACCACTTTCACGTGCCGGGAATATGGCAAATTATGATATTTTTTGACGCAGATACATTGATGCAACCGAGAATGAACAATATTTTGCAAGATTTTAGTCAGATTATTAAATAAATTGAT